TGTCCCTCACTTGTGTCTCTGCTTTGGAGCTGGTGGATGCTGTGGTTGAATCTGTTGTAAAGCAGCTGCTTATGGAACGGGGATCCAAAGGGAGGCCGCTGACCTGGAGAATGGAGCGAGGTTCTGGCTCTGACGGCTGCCTGGTTGGACAGTGGAATTTGGTTCAAATAACTGTTTATTCCCCTCTTTCTGCCTTTTACTGGGCTTTCTGTTGGCATAAAATAATGCRAAGTTGCAGTTAATTGCAATAATAAACCCTTTTTGCAGGGAATTTACAAATAAAAGCCAGTATGATGCTAGTTGTCCTATGGAAACTATTAGTTAATCAATAYACACTTCTTTTCGTAAAGATGCTGTAGTGTTGTTGTTTAAAAGTAAAAAATTTAATCAAATAATTGTGACTAAATAGGCAGAATTATTTCTGTAGACTTTAAAAAGTACCAGATTGGATGTCATACTCATTTAAGTAACAATGTGCTTTAATTATAGTTACGTGATTATGTTGGTAAAACAGTCTTTTTTATGCATAAAATGTCTGTTATTACTGTTTGTATTTGGGAATTTTCTGCAGTAAAGCACTTTGCCAAGATTTTCTAGCTTACTATTTAAATAGAAAAATAATACACTGTAACTGATATATTAAATGAATAATTATTTTTTTAGGAATGAAACTATCCCTTCAAGTCTTTCTCCTTGCCATGTTTCAAATTAACAGCATGTGGTGAAACCTTTCATTCTGCAGGAGATCACAGCATAATATTTGCCAAACAAAACGTGAAGAGCAGGCAGGAGTGAGCAGGACAACTTTGATTATGGGCCAGCGTGCTGCTCTGCACAGGCCTGAATGTAAAACAGAGTTGGAAACTGAGTCAAGAAACKATCATCTTGCTTTATTAGGACTTAGATAAAAATATGGAACAACATTTCTGTAACAAGTAACTTTTCTGATCTGTACCTGGAGAAGTGCCAGAATTTGTTTTTAGCAGCAATGTAAGTTCTTCATCATTTTTAGACACAAAAATTATTCAGTCTTGACTTTGTTTGTAACTGTTTTAACTTGAATGGGTTTTTGAAGMGTTTCCCTTCAAGTATTTTTGTCTCCAGTACCAATCTGAAAGCCTCTCAAACACATTGATACCTACTTTGAAGAAGGGCTTTGTCCGTCTGCCTGTCTTTCTCGTAATCTTTTTAGGAGGAGTTCACAACATGAATTGCAGCATGTCCAAGGAAAGAGAACCATATTAATATACCTAATTTCTGATACTGTACCTACTTATCAGATTACAACCTGCAATATCMGGATTTAATCGATCACTTTTATCTTTCCTGAATGTTGTTCTGTCTTGCAAGTATTTTCCTGTTTTTGCTTTTTGCCAAAGCTGGAGCTCAAGCTTTCAAATTGAGGCCAGATAGGAAGGTTATTAACGTAAGTGGAAAGGATCTTAAAAACTGCCCGTACCACACGAAGCAAAAAGCTTTTAGTGACCTGGATTTTGGCCCTGATGTGCAACATTGCTGCAAGTTTTGTGCATCCAGAAAGAAATGATTAATCCCTGCTTGTTTTTCCATAAGTGACAGTAATTCTGATATATTGTAATGCTGTTGTGCTCCATTCCTTAATACATTTGATATGTGTTTACTTTGATGGGAAGGCCACAGATTTTCCAGCTTTACCTCAAATTATGATCTCATAAGTCTTGCATGAAAAAGCGACATTAAAGTAACATGTTATTTAAGGCATAAACAAAACTGAGCTGGTCCTTGATTTTCACATTCCTCTAAATAAATGTCATGCCTTCCAGTTTAACAATATTAGTAAACTGTGTTCAGAAAAGTAGTCCATTTATACCTTCCTGATCAAATAATTCTCTATGCCGATTACTAAGTATTTCATAATTATATTCTCTGGCTCCATTTTAGATGAACAATTTTTCATTCCTCCTCCCAAACTGCAAACAAGCAACCAACAACAACAACAAAAAGAAGCTTCTGTGGGAAGTTACGTGTAGTTACTGTACGTGCATGATTACATGCCTGTGCATCCCTGCCCTGCAGTTCTGGTTGGCGTCATGTTGCTGTATCCTCTTGGGATTGCTTGGCAAAACATGCTGTTTATTCCAGCATTCCTTTTCCTTTCCTATCCTTTCCTATCAACTTTTAGCAAAATTAGAGTTTTTCTGGATGTTACTGTTGTTTACAATCCAGTAATTTCATCGTGGAGATTTGTTTCAGCCCTTTGCATTTTAATTAGAAGTGGTGACATGATCTTTGATTCCCAAAAATTAAAACCCCATGAAATTCAAAGCTTTTTGAGGATAAAAAGGGAATGCCTCTTTTCTTTTTTTCCTTTTTTTTTTTTCTCTCCATCTTGTGCTTCATTTCAGGATGCTGCTGAGTCCGACTTCATTAGAAAGGAGACAACCCCATGGCAGGGCTTAGAGATTTATTCATAGAGTAATGGTATTTTTGTTGCTTTTTGTAACTAAGGACAGGATATACTTTTCCATCTAATATTTCACCAGTTGCTTGAAGCCAGTCACCGGTAGCCAGTGAGCGATGCAGATGCTCTCACAGTGATGGAACCCTCATCTCCAAGGGRCAGTTTGTCCGTCACCACATCGTGTTCAGGTTGATAGATGTTCCTCTCTTGTCACTCAGCATACAGGCAGCCTAGGTCTCTATACTGAACTTGACAAGTGTCTCTCAGATTTACACAATCCTGTCCCAAATGCTGCAGTCTCCCCTCGGCTTGAAACAGTCTCTATAAATCCCTTCCAACAGTTGACTGATAGGATCTCGCCCAGGTTGCTCTTCACACAACTTGTGTTTAAAGCTTTTCCTTGATTTTGGTGTGGTGCATTAGAATGGGTAGGATTTTATTTAACCTGTGTTTTGCTTTTGGTACAAGAGATGAGCCTCCACAAGGGCTGCTGCAGTGCGGTTCCCACCTGTGGCCTTGGAGGGGCATCAGGAACTGCTTTGGCCTCGGGCAAAGCTTTGGACCTTTTGAACCTTTTACTGTTTTCCATTTATTCCTAAAATTCTTTTGTGTGCTGCTCTGCTTTGCCTGTTTTTCCTTATTTTCTGGAATATGCCTGTGCTGGCTGCCTCAGCACAGAGCAGAGGTGGTGGCCAGGGGGTGGACACTCTGCTTTATCCTAGATGTCACCAATGCCTGTATTTTTTTGGGTAGATTCATGCATTCTGAAATGGTTGTGAATGGGAGAACAGAGGGAAAACTATGTATATATTTATTTTAAATACCAGTAGTTTCTCTAATAGTCTATTACACGCTTAAATATCCCAAGTTTTGTTRGTTCTGAATTGGTTTTGCTAGCAGACAAGTGCTGGGTGTTGGGGCACGCGCAGGTTTGTCCTGGGGGGAGGCAGAGATGTGGAGCCTCCTGCATTGGCGTGGCGGGGAGCCGGGCGGCCGCCGTGAGGGGAAGGGGAGAAGGAGCTCGGGGCCCTTCCCGCGTGTTGCGTGTCCCCGTGCAGCACAACCAGCTGCTTTTCTTCAAGCTCACAGCTCCAAAACCAATGCTGGGTGGGTTGTTGGGTGTAGGAATTGCAGGTAAAYGAGGCAGCTGACGAGGTTCGCAGACCTGAGTGAGTAAACACACCACTTGACCCTGCGCAGATTCACCTAGAGCAGTGTCTTTAGCAAAGGCGGGAGCAGTATCTCCCGAGGGCAGAGGGGCCTGTTGRCTCCCCACGGCAGCGCCGAGCTGGGGGCCCAGCCCCGTGTCCAAGCTCTGGCCTTGCGGCTCTCAGTGTTGGATTCTGGACAAGTCCTCAGCGTCGAAGATCGCTCCAGAGGGGTGCGAGAGCAGTTCTCGGATCGCGCCCGCGTTCCTGGTGTGACCTGCTGGCCGCTTGGTTTCTGGCTTTAAGAAACTTGTGCTTTTATAGGGGCACTCAGTGCAGTGCTGATGTGGTACAAGCTGACCCCTCTGTCTATCTGCTGGTATTTAAATAAACATGATACAAATCCTGTCTGTTACAATAGGATGAAGTAGAAGTATGAACAAACTTACCTTATGTGAGGATATATTCAGGACAATACAGAAAGGTGATTATCTTATTTGTTCAGAAATTGAGATTTGCAGAATGAAGGCATCTGAAGCCATCTCGTGCTCTCCCTTAATGCTTAAATACTATAGCCATTTTTTTTTTTTGAAAGCTGAGAGTGCAACTGAAGTCTCACAATTGCTGGATTCCTTCAGGTTTGTGGAGAGATTTAAAGACAAAAACAAAACAAAAAAAGCAGTGGTAGGTGCAGAAGGCTGGAGAGTTGTTAGGGAGAAAGGTCTTAGGCTGTAGAGTGGGTAGATAAAGATACTATGGGAAGATTCCTAGAAAAAAACAGGGCTGGGAGCATCTGGGACTAGTCTGAAGGACATCAGTAAGGATTCATTTACTGGAAATGCTTTGTGTGTGTGTGTCCCTTTGACCTCTACAAAGGTGCATCTGAAAGGGTCAAGATGGAGCTTCCCAAGTCATTAGGCTGTTTCCTAAGTGAATACTTAGGATTATGGAAGACAACAGGAGTGAAACAGTGCTTAATTTCCCTAATCGGGGCAAGGGCTTCTCAAATCGCATGGTTTAGAGACCTTAGTTTTATTTATAAGAAATATAATTGCACCAGAAGGCATTCAGGTGATCTGTAGTGGGGGTGGTTTGCTGGTCTCGATGTGCTGTTAGTGTTCAACCTACTAAACACCTGGGCTGCAGGTCCAGCTAAATGTGTGAATATGTAAATCTTTGCATATGTGATCTATTCTTTAAATTAGCTGCTTAAAATTAGCAAGAGATGTTGGAGATGTCTTTACAGATGACTCTTCTGATAGCTTTCCTTTTTACAGAAGGTATATATTTTGCCTTTTTGTACTCATTAATAGACTGTAGTAGAAGGCTGTGGAAGAGCATGAATAATATTAAAGTTGTCCTGAATCTCACTTTTTATAATTTCTGTGACCGTTATTTTCCTTTCTCATTAGAACTATGCAGCACTGCTACAGCAACAAATACATGAAGACAGACAAAACCCGAGAGAAAAGGCTGTGTTTGGAGTCCAGCTTACAGAAGAGAAGCTTAATGACTTCCGTGATGAGCAGATTGAACAGCTCAAGGAACTGATGGATGAGGCTACTAAACCTCATAAGCAATTCTCCATTTCTAAGGACTCAAAATACAAGAGCTAAAGGGTTTTCAGATTTGCTGTAGTGTATACAGAAGTATTTCGAAACTTCCATTTTTGGTTGGACTAGAATGCATTTCTGTGGAGTAATGAGAGACGGTGGTGCCGTAACTGCCTCTGGATACCTGGCTTTTTCAGCAAGGATGAATGTTCATAACAATTTTCTGTTAATTGCAGCATATTTCCTCCTAATGGAAGGCAGAAGACTTGAAAATTTTGGTAAATGGAAAAGTAAATCGATATTATAGAGATCTTCATTTTTAATCTTAGCACCCAGAAGTGGTCATCTGTGTATCATTCTCTATTTCGATGAAAAAGCTGCAACTAATATTTATTTTCTCATGTGGATTCAGTAGACAGAGGGGGAAAAGTATAATAAAGTGTGTTCATTTTGGTGGAAGGAAGCAAGCAGTATTAGAAGAATAAGCTGATTTTTCTTCTTGAGCTTTATTGTGACACGGACTTCAAATTAAATAGTTCGTTATTAAAATCATTGTGAAGGAATCACTGGTTTATGAAGTAAACTCAGCAAAAACATGTTATTTTTGCAGATCATTCCTATCTCATCTTTTCCTAATCCACGCATTAGCTCTTTCTGTCATAGTATCCAAAAGATCTTTAAAAGCTCCATATTGCACACTCATTGTTTTACACAGACTAGAATTTACAGTCTCTATAATCACAGAAAGTGGCCTGTTCATTATATTGTATAGCAAGTATCAGTGATTTATAGGTAACACATGAGGTTAACCTTCMTCAGGAAAAGGAGTGCCTGTTATACTCGGGTTGTGGTATCTAAAAAAAGTCCTACTCTTTTAGGCTAAGGAAAAACACCCCCCTTTCTGTTTCAAATACAGCTTTCATTTCATTTTTATGCCCYGGTTTTATATTATTATTCTTGTTCCATTTCTGGACCTCTCCCTGTCKGTTACCTGTGGAGTGTTCAAGACAACATCATTTCCTCCCTCTTGGGGGACAACAGCCTTGCCAAGGCAGCCCATTGCCGGAGTCTCGGCCGGTAGCAACACGCTCCTTGCCGGGGCTGCATCCTGACGGAGGGCATTTGGGGAGCAGCCCCTGTGCATCTCTCCTCCTTTCCCCACCTCGCCGCCCCTGGAGCCTTTCCAATGTTTTCCATTGCAGGCTGCTCGTTTCTATTAAAGGTTTCCTTGCCAGCCTCTGTACAAGGAGCTCGTTCCGTGCATCTTTCCCCTGCTCGCGCTGCGGTAACGTCCTCCTGCAAAGTGCCCAGTGCCCGGCCCAAGGGGTAGGAAGAGCAGCGGCCACGAAGCCGGGGCTGCGGGAGCTGCATCTCTCCTCCTTCCTAAGCCTTGCAGTTTCCAGTGTTCATCCTACTAAAGAGGATGTCTATGCTGGAGAGTTCGTCAGTCCTAGGTATTTTGATTTTTTTTTTTCAAAGTGTTTTCTTTTTTCTTCTAGCAATTTTATGTTTTCATGAACTGTACGTCCGATTGTGAAGTGTCAAAATTGAATGGCTCTCGTTTAAAAATCAGAAGTGAGAGATGCTGCAGGAATTTCCTAGTGTGTTCCCTATTCTTAAMGCATGACTGGGATATATAAAACTGTATTTTATAATGTATCATTTTAAAAGCGTCCACGGGAAAAAAAAATGTATTTGGCATATCAAGAGGATATTTAGAGGGAATCCTATAGAAGCTTCATGTGTTACCAACATCATACCATAGGGGTAGCGTTATTTGAGAACCAATACYCTGCATCCTTTTGGGCCAGAGTATAATCCATCCCCTCCAGTGTAAAAGGAGGTGAGTGTAAAGCAGCTCCCCAGGAGGTGTTCAGTGGGTCACATTGCTCAGGGAGCCCACGGACTTCTGAGAGCAGAGCTCAAGGTTTTGAAGGTAAAAACCCGCCTGGATGCCACCCTGTGCTCTGGGTGTCCCTGCTGGAGCAGGCGGTTGGACTAGATCATCTCTAGAGGTCCCTTCCAACCTCAACCGTTCTGTCTTGCTGTTCAGATGACCTTCCGTGAATTCTAATGGGGACGTGAACTTCAAGGTAAGCGTTTTCATCTTTACACAGTTAGTTATTTCTGTCAGGCCGAGAGTTTGGTTTTGATTTTGTTTCTGCATTACTGGAATTTGCAGTCTTTCCGAGGCATCCCAGTTAATCAGCYTTCCTCTGTTTCAAAGAAAGCTGATTCATGTTTGTTCATCTCTTTATTACCACTAAAACCACTTAGTTATTTTTAAAATTTACTGTTTCTTTTCAAGTCGGGAATAATTTAAAAAAAAAGTGGAGATTATTGAGACAACTGTAAAAAATTTGTATATGTAACTAAGATGCTAGAAATCTGAAAATGCCTAGACTGTTCTCAAAAAATGTAGAAAATGAATAATGCTGTATCTTGCTCCTGGAAGAAGTAACTTTTGGAACAAGTAATAGATGGACATGTTGCAGTAACACACATGACTTACAATCACTTTTTGGTCTAATCATTCCCCCATAACCCATTCTATTAAAAACAAACTGATCGCTGTGTAATTAGCGTAGTCATTTGTAAGAGCAAATCTTCTGCCTGAAGGGAGCTGGCGGAGCCATAAACCCGAAATATCCGCGCTTCCGGCGGGACTCAGCTGCTGTTTCGCAGGAGCTGTTGCGATTAGTTCGACCACTTTCCCAATTCACTTATCTGCAGCGGGAATTCAAGYGTCCTGCAGCCTCCCCATGCCCCCAGTCCTCTCATCTGCAGCGGGAAATCCATGGYTACCCTGTGGTCCCTTAGAAAGACTGATGGACAGCAGAGCCCGGGAGGAGGCATGGAAGATTTGGGGGGTTGTTTCCTCATTGGGATCTTCTTGTTGGGTTTCATCTCTGTGTTGAAAGTCTGTGGGAGAGCCCGTCCCTGGAGCGGCTGCAGTAGTTCTTGTCCTAGGCTGGCAGAGAACGGGAGCAACTTATTCCATAGTCCTAGTGCATGTGGAGCCACTTTGTGCCTCTGATGTTTCCCAAATGCTTTAAATTGTTAATATCTACGCAACTTTACTGCATGTCTGAAGGTGCAGCCTACTGAGGACCCACCATGCCGGGCTCCATGCAAAGGGCCACCCCTGTCCCCAGGAGCAGGAGCCTCTGCCTTGTCACTGCTCCTGCATCTGGAGATGGCCCTAGGAGAGCGTGGTGGGAATGGGCAGCCCTGGGGGTGCGGAGGGCTCTGAGGCAGGAGGGGAAGCGGCCGTGAGGAGGATGGGGCTGGTTGGTGCTGCTGCCTCTCCTCCTGCCTCGGGACACCAGGACATGGACAAGTGAGTCCTAGACTGATGTGGGTCAGGGTGCTCTTCTGCCGCGTCCCAACAGGTGGAGTTTTAAGCTTCACACCCCAGGTATTATGTTTGTGATGTGTGACATCTATTGGGAGAATTCAGATCTGTCTAGGTGGAATAATTTCTTGTAGTTGGTGTCTTTCCATGGAACATTTACAGGGTTCCTGTATTGYGCGAAGTGTGGGAGATGGTATAGACTGAGACAGAACAGCGCTGTCCCACCACCTTGAAGGAGCAGTGAATCCAGTCCTCCCCTTGCTGTTCTCATGCAATAGTTAGTAGGATACAGCACAGGGCCACGAATCCAAAAGTTAATGGGCTCTAGTAGATTGTGTTAGTATATAAGGCGTTTGCTTGAGAAATAAAGTGGTCCTGATTCTGATARACATGGWTTGGGGTCTGTGCAATCATTCACCACGAGTAAATTATACTGCTGGCTCGAGTGATAAAAACGTCCTTTGTAACCTGCAGAAAAGGAACTTCCCTAGCACCATAGACGTGAGATTTGCAGCTGGCATCGTCGCTGCCTACCAGGAATCCAGAGAATGGGAAAGCGCCTTTCCTCCAGTGAGGAAGATGGCAGAGTTGACGTGCGTGCCCGGAGCCAGGCTCGGATCCTGCCGCTTGTACCAGCGCGACCCAGCGCTAATGGAAATGGGTGAGGGCCTGGGCACGGAGCCTGAAATTCCAGTCAAAAGCCGTGTCGATCACAACCGGCTGCTGACACGGCTCTGCTTATGTGCTACCTTATACATTTTTCATCATAAGTGGAAGTGAGATAAGAAGTTGTGCGTAACACAGTGGTGGTTTTTTCATTCGGCTGTGGGGCAGGGATGTAGGTGCTGCTGAGGTGGCTGCAGCCCCGCGGTGCCCCGCGGATCATTGCTGGTGGATGGAGCATGTCCAGAGGGCCCTGCTGTGGAGGCCGCAGTGGGGCAGGCTGGGCTTGGTCCTGCCTGTCACTCTGTGCACTGAGCTTGGCCCTGGGTGGGCAGCCCCTCCAAAAGCCTCTGTCACGAACCACGAGCAGAAACCACAGCAGCAGCAACCACGAGCTGCATGGGCCGTTTCCAGCATCCTGGTAATTTACAGTAAGTGCACGTGGCAGGGGGTGGCTTCCATTAACATCAGCTTCTGCTCCCCACTGGAGCTTCACTAGTAAAATCTCTTTCTGCCCCAATTTGGCGTTAATGATCTGCCCCAATTTGGCATTAATGAAGAAGCAATTGTCTTAGTCATTAGATGAAATTAACAGTGTTCACAATCTTACACATGGAGGATGACAAATGACTCACTTGAGGAAAGCACCAGTGGCTGAGGAAGGGATCGGGAGACCTCCTGACCCAGTGCCAGGGAAAGGGCTCATCATGAGTCAGAAGCGTCTTTCCTATGAACAGACAGACACAGTCACACATCAGAAATACCTGCCTTTCTCCCCCAAGGCCTTACAGCCCCTCAGCTGCTTCGGTTTCTCTCTCCTGAAGACCAGGAGAGTCTTTTTCTGCTCCCAAGATGTCTTCCCATCTCCCCACACCTCACCCCATCTCCGAATTCCTAGCTGAGGAGAAAAAACAAACCCAACCTGCCTCTTCAGGCTCCTTGCAAGCCTGGCTTGGTGGTATCACACACACCAGGTCCAGGTGTGGTAATAAAAACAAATTGGATGAGTGGAAAAAACAGGAGCTAGCAGATGAGGAGGAACAAGTGATGGAGACCTGCTAGAAAAAAACAGGGAGAGGTGTGTAAGAGTGTACAGGGTGGAAGATGCTTTGGGGCAGACTGTGAGTTAGGTAGGAGAATCCTGAGTAAGAATCAGTAAGTGAGTAGCGCTTGCACACTGACGTACAGAGGAGGAAGAGCCACAAAAGATGCTCGGATCCCTGCTGGGTTTGTCTTGTGCCCACAACCCTCTCAGGGAACCCCATCTCGCAGCTACGCGCTGGCCTGGGCAGGGGGCCCAGCTGGGCTGGTGCTCTCGGTGCTGGCCTGGGGAGACCCAGAGACACCGGGGACACCTGGCTTTGCTTTCACAGCAGTGTCTGTGAACAACCTAGCCTGAAATATCCCTCCAGGCCAGGGATGGCCAGCTTGGAGACCTGGAGCTGCTCGAGGGCCCGCAGCTGCATCATCCACTTGTTCATTTTGAGATGAGGGTGCAGAAAACACTTGGTGTTTTACAAAAATGTGTTGCCATTTTTATATTGCTTAGAAATTTTTAGAATTTTAATATTATTAAATTGCTGGCCTGTTGTGTTGGCTCAGCCGTGGTGCGCGAGGCAGAGAGGCCCTTGGTGAGGACGATTCATCCCATTTCTGCCTTTCTACACCACTCGCTGGAGTTTAGACAAGTAGTTTACACTAGACATYCAGTTTTGGGCATACTGAATGAATCGTCTTCACCTTCCTTCCACCGATGGAGACTGAGCTGCTGCTAGACCCACCAGCGAGCACTGAGTGCTTTGGGCAGGCCTAGTACCAAACCACGACCCAGGAAAGACATTGCCTCTTTTTCTTGTGTTATCAAAGTAACAGTTCTCCTGCTTTTGGGGTAAAAGCCCAGCCTTAATAAAGGTGAAGCCCTCAGTGTTCTGTCAAGTCTTCTGCACCTTGAACTTCCCTGACTCTGGAACAAGTCTCCAACTTCCTTGACTCTGGAAAACTTCACAGTTTACTCCTCTGTGCTCTCATGGAGCTTTCTCAGCTGTTAACAGCACTAAATCATGAAAGATGTTTCTTGCAAAAGGCTGTTTA